AAAAAGAAAAAGAAAAGGAATGGTGGTCCCCAGAAGCCAGGGAAAGCAGAGCCTGGGGAGGGGTGGGGAAGTTGATCCATACCATGGAGCTGCACTTGGGAGCAGGAAGTTCTGGTGAACTCTTGCACCCTGAGTGACTAGATAATAATGTGCTGTGTGTTTCAGAAATCGAGGAGAAAGGATTTTCAAAATTTTCCCCACAAAGAAATGACAAACGTCTGATTGACTTGATCTGATTGGCTTCGGAAATCACTTGTCCCAGACATGATACTGTTTCTTTCCTTCTGCTTTCTTACCCCACCACCCCACCTACCATTCCCCACCCTGCGCTGGGGTTGATATTGTTTCTTAATGAATTCAATTTAAAATTACAAGACAAAACAGCATTTGTTGTGGGAGACCAACCTCCCACTGACAGAGTTAACTCCCCTGCTGGGCGATGTGGCAGTCAGGCACCCAGGCTGCTAGACTACCCGGCTCTTCCAGAGTTGAGTCTTCCTGCCTGGGAGTGACTTCCTACAGCCTCATGGGTGGAGCTATGCTCATCTGTTCCTTTGTAATAGAACCCCTTGCCCTGTTTAGGGTAGAATCTTCCATGGAAATGCCTTGTGTGTGTGTCCCCTTCTCTTACTGTGCCCCTGGGTGTGGCCTACCTAGATGTCAATCAACCTGTTGACAGTGGACATCATGAAGATAGACTCAGCCCCCTGAAACCTGACCCTTTGCCTCATTTGAATAGCTTCTCCTCAATAAAAGGGGTCAGCAAGTGACCCTTAAGGTCAGAGGAGCCTTCACAGCGACCCCAAAGAAAAAGGTATTTATGTCTCTTGTGTGGTTATTTTGCACAGCCCAGTCAGCCCAGTTTTCCTGGAGTGACCCCTGAGCCTTTTAGTCGCAAACATGAAACCGGCAATCGGCGTCCAACGTGGGGTGAAAGGCCTGAGTCTTAAGCTGCAGGGTCAAAATCGACAATTTGTAACATACAGCTTATACTACAATAAAGTTACCTCAAGGATCACTGACTGAATCACAGTATCAGACTGCTTTATGCATTCCCAGTGCTGTCATGAGCAAAAACAGGAAGTGAGACCCTCATCTCCAGGCAGAACTAGCAGTGGCTGTATTTTCCAAGCTGTATTTTCCAAAATGTGGTAGCATTTTCGGACCTTCCTGCCACTGCAAAGGAAATTTCCATATTTCAAATCCATTTAACTATTGCCGTCAAGGAGCTTTCACCTATCCTTCCACTGTACGTGATTAATCTGCCACATAGTGAATTGCTAAAC